TTCTGTTCTGCATAACAATATTTTAAAAATAGCCATCATAGTACATACAATTATAGAATGTAGTGAGAAACTTGTTTCACTAAAGATTATATAAAAATAAAATCTTTATCAGATCAATGCACTTATACTGTGATGGGAAACACTTACGTTATCATGAGGAACTCTTCAAAGTTGTCATTATAAAAAAAGTATTACAGTTGTGGGTCTGTCATAGAGCTATGGTCCTGTGATGGATCTGCAGTTTACTAACATGCTTTATGGAATACATTCTGCTGTTTTCACCAGTAAAGTATTAGGTTACGATGAGCCAATGCACTATAAAATGCTGATTTTCAGAGAAACTATGCACACAGAAGTAAAATAAATCTTGAATAGCCATTGAAAACATTTTTAAATATGAATTGTAATAAAAAATAACAACTGCATTTTGAAGGTGTTGGGTTTATAAAAGTAGCCTCATATTCTGAAAGGTAATGCATTTGAATAGTAAATAAATTTAGTCTAATAAAGTCAGTGTTGGAGTTTTCCAAGAAATTAAATTAGTTCTCTTCTAACAGTTTTAAGAAAGCACATTTCTAAAATAATCTTTTTTTTCAAACAAAACTAAAAGTATATTTTACCTTTGCTTTTGTTTGTTGCTTGTCCTTTAGTCAACCTAGTGCAAAACAGAGGTGGATTGGCAAAGGATCCTCTCTCCCTTCAGAAAAACATGTCATTACAGGGGTGACTCAGTTCTCCAAGTTAAACCAGAGGCTTGCATTAAAGCTCTTTCTAACCAAACTCAGGCTCTCTTAAAAGCATCTTAGTACTATGCAAGTGACCATTGCTTTCTCAAAATATCCAATTTAAATTTACTGATATAAGGAGAAAGAAAACTGATTGAGACTTTAGTTAAAAAATAGGGAGGTAAAAAACAAAAACCATACATTTAAGATTCACAGATTTGAAAAAGGAGTCAAGTGATTTGTGCTCCATGTTTTTTATTTAAAAATAAATAGATCTTAATGTACTAGTCTTGATGATATTTGACTAATGTACCCTTAATGGAACATTAAGTATCAGATCAAGAAAACACAATTGAATCTAATACAATTAATGGCTAAAAAAATTGTCTAAAAAATTGGCTAAAAAAAATTAAAACAACAAAACAAAACAAAAACCATAGAAGAAAGTTAATTTAGAGGTATGAGTTGTTCCTTCCATTGGAAAGACAAATTGTAAGTTTCAAAAAAAATAAGTAGATAAATGTCCATTTATTGGAGCAACCAACTAAAATAATATTTCCAAGACAGCAGAACCAGTCAGACCATTCAATTTTCCAAAAGTGTGTAGAAGGGTGAGCAACTCAAACATTTTACCTCAGAATATTTAAGTATGTCTTCCTCTTCAGAGTTCAGTTTGTACATTGGATCAAATACAAAAGCTACAATGGGTATAGCTGTGTCACCCTACACAGGCACAAAGAGATAGCAAAAGTTTACCTCAAGAGGGAAAGGCACTCCTCTCCCTCTCCCGTGGCAATTTTCTTTTTACTTTGGTAATTATAGGGGTCCCCACCAACCTGAGTGCTTTTCTGCTCACATGCTCCAGATGAAAGGTCACTTAACACTCCCCACTCCCTTCCACGGAGTCCATCCTCCAGTGTGATGCAATAATTCTGTTGAATAAATATATTCAGACAAATGCAGGAGTAAAGAATATGAGGGATCCTTACGATACATTTTTTTCAGTATCTCTCCTTCATAAATATAAATGATGACCAATGATTGCCCAACAGTTATTTCTGACCAACAATGTGAAAGAGAAGTTAAAGGGAACAAGGGATAACAGAGAAAATGGAGCATAGTAAAGTATGTAGCAAGTAGCAATAATAAAAAATATAATTAATGTTTTCTAGCAGACTTAATAAGTTGTTGAGTCTACAAATCAAAAATAGGCTACCAAGAAAAAAGACCAGTCACATTATTCCCCAGAGATTTCTTTGAAATTAATTATGATTACTAAAATATAGAAAAGTATGAAGGACCCCACAGGGAGTCCCCAATTTTCTGTGAAGTGTTAGGACACCCCATGAAAAGAAAGAGCAAGTGATGGGGAACTGCGGTGACCAATTGTTCACATGGAACAAAATGCCACAGGGCCACGAAGCAGACAGAAGGTGGACATTTATTGATTAAAAAAAAATGCTAAGGGGATTATCTGATAACTCAGAGGAAGTGATAGTCTTATGCTAACAAGGGTTGATGAGGATGGTGGGGCCAGATGGTAAGGAGTTTCCTCAGACCAATTTGGTTCAAAGGGAAAGACAAGTATAGTCTGGGACATCCCCTAGACTCAATTTATAATCTGTGGCCCTCAAAATAAAGACAAAAGCTAGGCATGATGGCATATACCTGTAATTCCAGCACTTGGGAGGCTGAGGCAGGAGGACTGTTGAGAGTTTGAAACCAACTTGGGCTACAAAGTAAGCTCAAGCCCAGCCTGAACTGCATAGCGAGTCCCTGTCTCAAAAAGACAAAAAAAGTAAAGACCAAAGTGATATTCTAGAAAAATGTTAAATAAATTTGTAATAAAAAAAAAGACAAATTTAGACTGTTTTATAGGAACCAAGATGGAGTAGAGACAAAACTCATCTAATATCATAAATAAACAGAGAAAATGGAAAAAGGAATTCATTTGAAAACTATTGAAAAAAATTATTCTGACCAGGGAAGTCTAACTCAAAAGAGAACATCAGAAATTTTTGTAAATAATATCTTTAATGTAAAAATAAATACAACACAAATCGAATAAAGTATGATTATACTTTTTGGTCTTTATTAGTCATACACGAGATGAACACACACATTTCTTCTGATTTAAAAAAAGTCTCATGGAACAATAATGACTGGGAAAACAAGTGTTTAATATAAAAGTTTTTGTTACAATAAACAGAAAGAGGGATTTTTGAACAATTAATGAGAAGTAAGAAACAATGCTGTCTTGGACAACAGCTACACTGTCCCTGGTTAGGTAACTCAGGGTAGAGACAAACTACCTTTAGGCCTTGGACAGGTACTACTTACTATACTTTCATTTACTACAGTTATTTGCAATATTTTTGGGATAGATTACTAACAGATAAATCCTTTATTAATTTCTCTTGGAAAATCATCTTAAAATTAAGATAATTTAAATTGTGATCATTCATTTCAGAAAATATGAAGATATGTGTGTTTGTCTGTAGGTTTAACTTAGTATCCTCTCAGTTTTATGAAAGTGTTAGCTAAATTTATCATCTGGACACCCAAAATCATGTCCTACAAAGTAAATCACAGTGAAAGCTGATGCATTTGTAAACTGTTTTTAACTTGAGCAGATTTTTTGTTTACAAACGAAATATGAAGAATCCATTATTACTTGCATGTTGGGGTTTTTTTTGCTTTCTATTAAGTACAAGTGCAATAAATTTTGGTAATATTTTTTATTTAGAAAATTTAAATGATTATCTTGGATGATAATATTAGAAGAATTCCTATTTTCTTTTGTGTATCTATTATACAGAAGACTGTTTCCCACCTGCCTCAATCCTTCCGACTAATTTAAACAGTGAACCGATGTGTGTTCTATATTTGAGGTATTAATTGATGTTTGGGCAAAATTAGGTTCACCTTGTTCATTCACGCCATATTTCTTTCTTCATTTTCAAAATGATGATAATATTGAATAATATTTGCTTTTTACTACTTTACTGAAATACATTCAATGTCAGAATTCTGATATAATAATTTACTTTTAATGCCTTAGTAACAATTGTAATAGCTATAAAAATATTTTGTGCTTAATCATAAAAATCTAACTCCTAAATTTAAAAAAAATCTAATTTCTATAATAACAACCTTGATGCAACAATATACCAAAAAAAACAGGGAAACATCAGGTAGTACTCAGTTTAGCTTACTACATTTCATTGCCTCTTTAACTTTTACTTCTCCCCCAATTGAATGAAAGAAGGATGAATGAATGAATGAATGAATGAACTAATGAATCAAAGTAGAAATGCAAATGTGATCTGCCTATTAAGCCTCTATCTGTAGGCCAAGATGGAATACATATAAAAATGCAAAACTTGGGAAGGAAAGTATCTTTTCTAACTTAAGAAGAGAAACAGTATTGGGGCTGGGGGTTTAGCTTAGCAGCACAAGAGCCTGCCTGACAAGTACAAGGTAGTGAGTTTGATCCCTAGTATCAAAAAAAAAAAAAATCTAAAGAGACATCGTATTATAATTTCCTCTGAGTCCTTGTTTACAATGATCAGGATTATAATTAAAGGCAGTCAAGTGGCTGCATGAATTGTTCAAACGGTGATCTATTGAAAGCTAATGAATCACCTGGATACAGTGTAATTTAACTAAATAACAATTATATAATAAAAGAATTTCCAGTATAAATTCCATTGGTTTGATTTTAATAGGACTTGTCTTTTGATATTGATGACTGCCAAATGAATGTTGAAGATCCATTAGATAATATTAAGACCTACAGCACTCATTACCAGAAATCACTTGTCTCTATGATTTGATCCTGGGGTCACTGTCTAGAGTGCAGTTATTTTGTTTTGATTTCCTATTCTTGTTTCAAGGGTGCATTTCTGATACATTTTCTTGATCTGCTCCCCCTGTCTGCAGGTCAGGTCTCTAGAAAGGCACATTTGACTGTACAAAATTTCCAGTGCTTTCTCATGCTCCCTAATTCCTTTATTTTACACAACACATATTACCCCAAGATACCTGAGTATCTGATTATATATTATTTTTCATTTTCTGGAAAGAAGTTAAGCTCCCCAAAGACAGATCTATCCACATTTGCATCATCGTCACCTAACATGAAGTAAACTTCCAACAAGTAATTACTGTACCAGTGAATGGAGTCAATGATTGTTTTTAATTTTTAGTTTAAAGCCAGTAAATATTTTAGAAGAGGCTTCAAGTTACAGAAAGTCAACATTTTCTATTGTTCAGTCAAACAAAAAGTGACATTGTAGTAGAGAATAAAAAATATTCAGTGGAATTGCAGATATGATTAGGCCAAGAAACACTGGTAAATTAAAGTTAGCAGTAGGAGCCTTGTTCTTCCAACTCAAGAGATCTGAAGAGTCAAGGCAAGACTCCCCGTGCCAGCCATAATAGCAGTGGCACATAAATCCTTCCTTCATGTCCATTATTGTCTTCTGCTTATTCTTTTCAGAAAGGACAAAGCTGAAGCTCTTGTTTGAGATGTGTTTCTTGCTGCTGCTTTCAGGCATATGCAAATAAAAGGATGATTCAGGTGTTTTTCGAACACATCTCCCGTGGTTGCTACATAGACTTTGACTACAGAGCTTGGCTGCAGTTGTCACATTCACAGCGTAGGGACCCAAAGGCCACTGAATAGATCGCTGCACCGACAAGCAGGCCTCCTGTAAGAAAGACAGAAATCTTACAATGTGGTTCTGTTATCCAGGAAATATTAATGCCTGAAGTATAATGGTAAGGGTAAAGAGGATTTCAGTAGGTTACTCACTTAAATGATGACAAGCCTTTATTTATTTATAAATATGATACCTAAGCCCTAACCCAATTAAGAAAGACCATGGATGAGAAAGACTATGACCCAACCTAATTTCATATCGTGTCCGAGGAACAATGATCCTACATTTCCCACCTGAGATTCTTCCCTCATGTATACAGATATTTCTACTAACATTTTAAATATGATTTAAATTTTTTAATTTTAGTTGTAAAATGTATTCAAAGCTGAAACACATTAGTTTGGGTTTTTCTAACACTGCTAAGTCAGAGGTAATAATGCTCCTAAAGTTGGTGGTTAGTCTTCCCTCCACATTTTATAACACAAACACACATACACACACACTCACACACATGTATGTATGTGTCTGTATTTATGACTTTAAACAATATGTAGCATGGTTTTATGAATTTGTGTATATATGTGTGGGTAACATTTTTCTGCAAGTTGCTTTTTAAGTACATGCCATTTTAAAAAGTTTTAAACATTGATATTTAATTTATCTCATATATACATATATTTTTCAGTTTTATTTCATTTTATAATATAAATACACCATACTTCATTTATCTTTTAGTCTGTAGGAGGTCAAATATAAGTGATCGTTACATACAACCAAATGCTGATGTCACCTGTACTAGGACAAAAGATCCAATGACTGTAAGAAAGCTCATCTTCCCACAAGTCAGCCACTGAGTACAGATACACCCAGGACCCTGGGCTTAGCACTAGGTTACAGTTCTACTTACAGGTGGTCAGACTGTGCTTCTTGCAAGGACAGGCCTAACTGAAGTAACATCATTAGCTGACCCCTAAGAATCTAGCTGTAACTTTGACAATTGCTGACTTTTATCCATACAAAAGGACCAAGGTGCAAACCTAACAGATTCATTAATAAATTGAGTTTTCCTTAACATCTCAGTCATTCTATCAACAATAACAGTGCTGCATAATTTAAAAGTCAGTTAACTCAGAACTATGGGCTACTTCCTTAATCACAGGAAATTAAACCTCAAAGCTGTGACTCCATCTATGAAATGTTTGGGAAATTCAAATGGAAAAATCATAAGACAGAATAGATCTCTTAATGTCAGGTCATTAAACAAAACAGCACTTTAGGAAACAGCAGGTACTACAAAACCTATGAAGAGCAGCATTTGTTCCAAGCACTGCTAGCCTTATATCATATTTAAGAACACATGCTGGTTTCTCGTCAGGGCAAGACTCCTTGTTTGAGGGATCTGAGGATATTTCTGAGAAAGAAATGTAGACTGAAATGAAATAGGCAAATAACTGAAACAAGAAAGGAAAAAAGGAAGGAAAAGAGGAAGAATGAGACAGACAGAGAAATTAGGAAAACTATAATTAAGAGAAATAAGAACTCAGACAAATACAGTCATGTTCCACTTGGGCATCCCTCTTTCTGTCCCAGATCTACTTACTGAAACACCTTCTTCACTTAGCTTCAAGAACATCTTCACTCTGTGCCAACCCTCTCTTTCCAGTGCCCAGAAGCAAAACTTTGGAGTCATTCTCTACTCTTTTCTCCTCTCACACCTAATACCCCCGCAAGTCCTTCGCAGTCTGTCTATTAAAATGGACCAGAAGTCAGCCCTTGCTACTGTTCCAGTCCATGTGCTACTCTTCTGGGTCAGATCACCAAGAGCTCTCACCTGGACTGTTTCAGTAGTTCCCAACTAGTCTCCATAGTCTGTTCCAAATCTGGATATTTATGAATAAGCAAAAATTCCTATCTTTAACAGAGTAAAATACTTTCCCAAGTAATAATTTAACCAAAGAAAAATTCAAATACAATTTCAAAGAAATTAGAAGAATGCTGGGTGTGGTGGCTCACGCCTATAATCCCAGCCCTTGGGAAGCTGAGGCAGGAGGATTGTTGAGAGTTTGAGACCATTCTAGGCTACAAAGTGAGCTCGAGGCCAGCCTGAACTGCATAGAGAGACCCTGTCTCAAAAAGATAAAAATAAATAAATAAATACATTAGAAGAATACAAAAGTTAGAATACCAAGTATTAAAACATATGGACATAGACAAAGTAATTACCAACATTAAATGCTTAGTCATGCATAGTTTTTTGACCAGGGAATTCTTTCATCAGGCAAGACACAAGACTTCTTAGCATGGCATTTCATTTGGATTTCACTCAGCTGTCAGCAGTGTTGATCACTAGTTGACAGAGTAGTAAGAGGTGTTTTTAGTACTTACTCTTTCTTCCTACTCCAATTCTCTGCAACCTCTCTCACTTGTGTGTTCTTGGGAGTTCTGTTTTAGTTCCTACCTGCTTCAATGGCTATCAGTTTCCTAGAATCTAGTGAGTGATATTTCACCATTTATGGCAAACTCCTGATCTCCAGTTTATCTATCTGCTTTTAGCTTCTAATTTTGAATTTTTATCCAAAAGAATCCGTTCATTTATTTTTCAATGATTAAAATTTTTTTTAAAAGTTAGATTTAATAAGCATTGTGACATTGTAGAAAAATTGGAGCCCTTTCACAATGTTAGTTGGAATGTGAAAAGTTACAGAAGCTACAGAAAGCAATATGGGAGTTCCTCCAAAAATTAAAAAAAGAACTGCCATATTATATATACATCATGCATGCACATGGTCACAAACCCCTGCATATTTATGAGTATATATATCCGAAAGAAGTGAAACTATGATCTTGTAGAATTATCTACCCTTCCATATTTGCTGAAAAATCATTCACAGTAGCAAAGATATGGAAAGAATCCAAGTATTTATCACGGGATGAATGAATTAAAACAGTGTGATATATATCTACAACAGAATATCACTCAGTTTTAAAAAGAGATGGAAATCCTGCCATTTTCTTGCAACACAGAGTAATCTAGAGAAGATTTTGCTATATTAAAGAAATCATGGAAGGACAAGTAGTACTTTATTCTACTTACAAAAGTTATATAAAAAGTAAAACTCATAAAATCAGGGGATAGAAAAGTAGTGTCAAGGTATATAAGACAGTGTCAAGGGATATAAGAAGTTCATTCATTCTAAATAAGTACGAGCAATCTGCTGTATAGAATAGTTGAACCTTTATACAGAAGTATTTTTCTCCCATATGCATTTTTCATAGATAATGAATAAAATAAGGAATAATTTTTACAGACCTCACCCTTCTTAATGTGAATGAAATACTTTTAAATTTTTATGTTTTTATCATAAAATTTATTTTATCTATTAAAATTATTGCATATAAGTTTAATTCTAGCATAATTTTTAAATAAAGGACTTGCGACTCAAGTGAATTAATATTCCCAAAATTACACCCTTAGGATATAATAATCAGTTTCTCACTTTTGGCTGCCAGATTGACAATTCTTTTTTCTTTCAACCTTCTAACCACAGTGGCTGACACAAAGTAGATGCTAAACAATGTTGATCCTTGTACTTTTTAGTTTAATGAATAAAGAAAATGTGGTACATATTTGCATGCAATGTAATACTAACCTGTGATAAATAATAATAAACCTGAGTTATTTATAGGAAAGCAAGTGCACCTTGAGACCACAAGGTTAAGTAAGATAAATCAGACATGCAAGCTTAAATATTGCATGTTTTGTTATCTTACAAACTCAAAGTACAAAGAACAAAATAAAATATAGATAATAGGAAGCAGGGAAAAAGTCTTTTCTCAAATGTGAAGGGGATCAAATGATGGAGAGAGGAAGGGGAAGAAGAGAAAAGGGGGATGAAGAAAGGAATGAAGATGTGCTGTGACCATGCACCAACGCCACACAAGGAATATAAACATTATGTACTTCAAACATGTACTAATAAAAAATAAATAAAGTCAAGGCACCAGAAAACCAGCAGCTGTTCTGACTCTGATGTGACTTGTTTTAAAAGCTCTTATCTAGAGTATATTCAAGATACTGAAAAAAATAATTGCTTACCTTTGATGCAATATATTCACGTCCTCCCCACAATATTATTCCTGCTGCCCCTAAGGCAGCACTTTCGCCAATTGTATGCACTAAGTCCTCCTAGAAAAGAGAAGAGGCCTCAGAAGCAGTTTCTGCCAAACAAAATTTAATTGTTGATAATTCAATAAGACTCAACCCCTTCAACCATGATAAAGAAAACAATGATTTTATCTTTCTTTGTAAAGCAAAAGACCAGGAGACCAGGAAAAAACTATTCCACCTTGCTTTGTTAGTTTATTTGAAAAATACTTAGAATTTTTCAGAAAACATTCTAGATACGGAGGATATAAAAATGAAAAGCATTTCAATTCCCTTTCCTGTGGTAATTCTTTAGAGCGATGTGTGAGACAGACATAAAAACAATAACTATGTTATAATAAACTATTATGTATATTAATAGTACCCACAAATCATGTAAAGATTTGAAGAAATGTTTAATTCTACATGAAAGGGTTTGGGAAGGCCCCTTACTTGAAATGGTGAAATTTCAAATAAATCTTTCAGAATGAGTTTCATTTCTAGAAAAAAGACTAAGGGCAGGGGCTCAGAGAACAGTCATTAACTTCTTTTGGTAAAGCACATGCGATTTGTGGAATAAGTAAAAGTATATAAATTCTTGTTTATAAACATAATGCAAATACAATTCAGCATTGAAAAGATATAAATTTGCAACTTTAAAATCCATTTTGGCGGGTGTATAATTCAATGCATTGTAAAGAAAGGTCAAGATGGTATCGTCAGAAGCACCGTTGGGAGAGGATAGACATTGTTCAAAAAAAAATAATAGGGACCCAAAAAAGGCAGTGCCAGTTTTATAAAGAGGAGGAAGAGTAGAGAGTTATTTGTAAATTGAGCTGGGTAATTTTTAATTATCTAAGAAACAGTGCAAAGAGCAGAAAGGAGACATCCAGGTGACTCTCCAGTTGATTAGGTACCAAAGAGGTTGTAATCTTCATTCTTTCCTCCACTAAGCAATATTAGAAATTCAGTGCAAAGGTGAAGGATTCAAAGATTGCATGAGTAAGTGACAATGTCACCACAGAACATTCCTACACTAGGGAAAAATTCTAGTAACAGAGGTTAAAATCTAGGGGAGAAGTGCTTAGAATTTCGCAGTTTCAGATTTTTTTAAGACTGGAATATCTACATATTTACAGTGAGGTACTGTGGGGATGTGACCTCTATTAGTCACTTTCCCATTCCTGGGACAAAATACCTGACACCCACCATTTAAAGGAAGAGAAGTTATTTTGGCTCACAGTTTGAGCCCATAGTCAGCTAGCTCCAAGGCAGAAACAGGATGGCAGAGGGACATGCCAAAGGGAAAAGTGCTCAACCGATAGAACTCAGGAAGGAAGAGGGAGAGCAGAGGATCTGGGAACAAGAATACACCCAGGTCACGTCCACAGTGATCTGCCTGCAAACAGTCCCACCTCCTAAAAGAGCATTCAGGTTCTGAACTCTAAATGGATGAAGACAATGATGAGTATGTTCCTGAATAATCCATTCATCTTTAAAACATGCGACACTTCTGGAAAATATTTTAGATATAAACCGTAAAATGACTCAAGTGTAAACACAAAATTTAATTCTGCCATATGTAAACCTCATATGCATAGGCTGCTGTAATTTTGTCCAACATCTCTAATGTGCCTGTATTTTAACTGCAACTTGAGCTCAGGTGTGGAATTTTTCATTTGTTCTATTGTGTCAGTGCTCAAAAAATTTCAGATTTGAGAGAACTTCAGGTTTTGGATTTTCCAATTGAGGATGCTAAGCTGTACTGCTACTCATGTTCTGTAATTTGTCTAATACAAAAAAAATGGAAATTATTCTTTCATTCTACTAAGTAGTATTGTATTAGATTCCTTAAACGTAAGTCAGGTCTCTTATTTAGGTTGGGACAATTCTAAAGAAAAGATCAGGAGAGTTTTATTTTAAAAATACATTGAAATTTTATGTTGCTTAAACAATTGGAGGGGAAAAATACCAATTCTTTTTGTTGATTTTCAAACCATGAAAGGATATAGAAAGTCAGGGGTTGGGGATTTAGCTCAGTGGCATAAGTGCCTGCCTTGCAAGCAGGCAGTCGTGAGTTTGATCCCCAGTACTGATAAAAAGGGAAAAAAAAAGGATATAGAAAGTCATGAAAATATTTTAAAGTAATTCTATACTTTTTGATGAGAACATATATTGTCTATTGCTTTATGAAGTAAAGCTTAAAGAGATAACTCATAATTTCTTTAATATTCTAGTAATACAAAGAATGAGAAAGATATTAAGACAAGCATAAAAATGTGACCATTTTCTATCAAGATGAACTATTTGACTAGATGGACTATTACTATTTTCTATTGTTAGCACTAACATTTCTAACACATTGTAGGCATTCAATAAATAATTTTCAATAAATAAATATTCCAGTCTTTTTCCAAAAAGCATTTGAAAAATGACATGATTTGAGAAATTGTTCACTTAAGCAGTACTTTAGAGAGAAATCTGAGAAAAGGATGACTAATGTCTTAGAGTATCCAGAATACTGGATTTTAAAAGAAGAGTTTAAGTTATTCTAGGATATACCACAAAGTAGAATTAGAACTAGTGGTATGAACTCAACAGACAAAGTAAATTCAATATGCTTCAAAACTCCCTAGGAAATAGTACTGTCCAAAAACATATTTGTTTCTGATACAGAAAGTGCCTCATGAAGAAATGGTATAAAAGAACCAAGTTATAAAGGATGCATATGCAAGTTATTGATGGATTGGATACTGCTAAGATTTCTTCAATATTTGGTTGATGTAATGCTATTATTCTTTTTCTCCTAAATTTATTGAATAAATACTCCATTGTAATGATTAAAAACAATGTATCCTATTCAATAATATTCAGGCCAATAGATTTTACTCTGAAATTGTTTAGGAAGAATTGCTATTGTTTTGAAATGATCTTACCTGAAACATAAATGAATGATCTAAGGAAGTAAACTGTGTGTTGTCTATCCAACATGCCTATCTCCAAAATAACAAAATTGTTGGTTCCAGTATGGAAGAAAGTTTAAAGGTCTTCTTAGGTAGCCACCCATCTAATGATTACATCTTTTCTATAATGTAACAGTCTAGCTACAGCTTGAGCATTTCCAGTATCTATGAACTCATTGTCTTCCAAACAAGTTAATCTTTGCACATCTATACCTTTGCCTCCTACTCTGTGTCAAGCCTGAAGAAAGTATCCATGTACATAAACCACTTTTAATGCCTAGATACTGATAAATCATATTGTAGACTCAAAGAAATCATCAATAGAGTCTATGCTATGTTTTCAGTTAACATAATAAATTGAAACAGAAAAATACAATAAAATGAAAAACACAATTGGTTAATAATTTACCATAAGCTCAATTTTACATGTTTCTGAACTAAAAAATTGCTGCTATACTTTCATATAAAGAAATCTCTCCCTGATTAAAATTAATCTATTTAATTCTAATCTATTTATTACACTGTTTAATTCAAGTTTTAAAATTCTTCCTTAGAAAATGCTTGTGTAGTCTGCGTTGGTAAAAATTATAAACTAAAAACTGTACGTACACATCTTATCAATAGTAAGATTGTGTCAGAATTAGGCTATGAAGAAATATATATCTTTCATGATAGAATAGTATCCTATTCTATCAATATATTAATATGATATATAATTACTCTATTACAAATTATAATGCATTATTGAAGGGAAATAAGTTTTCTAAAACATTTTTCTAGACTTTTTATATCTTTCCATCAAATGTCCATTTTTTTAATGTGACTTACCTCTGACAGAATTTCAATACTATTCAAATAAAATGGCCTGGAAAAAATAAAAACTGGCAAAACATAGTCGGGTCTAGCCATTTCAGCAATTCTCATGGCTTCCCTAATTCGGTAATGAACAAATTTCAATGCATTTAAACTTGACTTCAACACTTTATTCAAGTGTATTGAAGGATAAAGTGCTGTGCTTTTATTCCACAGCCATGAGAGCTGGTCATTGAGGACAATTTCTTCATTTGGGCAATCGCCTGTGTAAAACGTTGGATTTATTCTATAATCATAATTATAGCAATCTGGATAGCGGTAAAAGCCCCATAAGCGTTTGGGTCTCATTTCTAAAGCCAGTGTAAGAGTAACATTCATGAAACTCCTTCCTGCATTTTCAAATTCCTGTTGGGCAGCTGCTGTCACTTTTGTTTCTGACCAGTCAGGATGGTGGTCTCTAGTGAAGGCTAAAGAGTGATTTTTATATATTATTTTGTTGCCCCAGTTTCTAACCCACTGGGGTTTCCAATTATCCCAGTCAATAATAACAAGTCCTTCTGATTGCCACCACGGGACAGTTTTTACAATATCAGTAGTAGCTTTACTAAGGTGAGCAGAAAGGCTCATATTCTGTGGTATGCCACCATTGAATGATTTTCCATTTTGAGAGAAATAAGGGTAATATCCCAATTCATTTGGATAAAAGATGGCAATCGTTGATCCACTCTGAGTCTCGAAAGGATTTGTTATAATGTTAAACACCTGAAGATTCATGTCTACTTTGAAGAAGTCCTTACAGTACACTGTTGGGGCAGCCCAGAAAATGTTGAAAGGCTGCTTCTTGATCACTGGAGGCATTGCTGGTTTAAGGACTGACTGAGTGACCATGACAAAGAACAGCAGCACTCCTAACCATGCCACCCATGGGTGACACATGAAATTCAGCATCACAACAGTCTCCTAAAAATAAGAAGAAAAATATTAAACATAAGGGCATCAAATGTCTTTTTAGTTTTATACTACAAAATGAATAAAACCAAATACTCCAAAGAATTTATGATGCTTTTATAGTACAGTTTCATCTGAATGAAGAAAAAAAATAAGAATTTTCCTCTAAAATGTGAAAAATGTATCAAGTGATTAACAACTATAAAAGATCTATTTAAAAAATCCTCGAATATGCAATTTTATCTGCAAATTTTATCTGCTGTTTGTTCTAAATTTAATGTGCTCTAACTCTGAGTGTATAATTCAAGCCATCATGCACTGACAAGACTTTGACTGCATGGAGAACTAGAAAAGAAACTCTGGATAGATTGCTGTATGACCTCATGAAACAGTTACGCCAAGAACATGCTCAGTGGGAAATTAACAAATATTGACATTTTAACAGACATTAAATAGAATAAAAGAAATGACAAGCTGTTCTAACAGCAAGAAATAATTTGTAAGTAACTTAAAATGTATTGACCTCAAATGTTGGTTCACTTGCTTTTAAAACAGAGCACTGACCCTTGCAACTAGCCTTGGTTTAAACAGGAAACAGAGCTGTCCATTACCTGTTGCTGATTGTAGATCTTGGTGCTGTCATCCTCTGTTAGTCACATAAACAAACTTAAAATCTATTGTTCTTGATGGCCATTATTTTCCCATGAAGTAATTGGACTATATTTTCAGCAGTTAAGTTCCAAATGAAACTTGGCTGTTTAGTCCCCCTCTGATCTGTCAGTTAGGACAGAAACTGCCAAAGAATCTTCCCAGCATATAAAGACCACGTAATATTTCAGGTGTTTTAACCAAAAGATCTCACTCTGAAATTCCTCACCTTAAAGTTAGCTTATTATGTACATACATTTTTAAAGATGCCAGATTTTCTCTGATGCAGTTAAATTTACTGTCTTTTTAAGGGTCAAACATGATTTCTTATGTAGTTCTTTCTATCTTTATTTAATATGTTAAATTCAGGAAAAGATATCAACCAAGATCACAAACTTGTACAGCATAATACATCCTGTTTATAAAGAAACTCAACTTTATACTTCGACTTATTAAATAAACAAAAGTGAATGATATTCTTGAATAAACTGGATTTTATTAAGACAATTGACTTCCCATGGAACTTATAATAAGGGAACTAGATGATCTCTAAATCACTAGAGATACCTCTATCCTTTATTCATCTCCAACTGTGAGATTTTAATATATCCCTTTCCCCAGCAAAAGAATAAACCTTGTTCATCAATCTTGTTGTTCAGGAGGATGTAAAAGCACCACTCAACATAAATATTGCCCTTTGTTTCATTTTTGTCTTAACTGCATATGCTGGGCATACATGCTGTTAAATCATGACATGCTTAAAAAGAAATTTCTGTTAAATGTTATATCACACTAAACTTCTAGAGATAAGAATGCTAAAAGTCCAAAATAGGTGCTTTGATAAATTTTAAATTGATTTTAATCATGTTTCTTGAATGCATAAATGACATAAAATCTCTCTTTGTTACTAGGCTAAGAAAATTTTATTACGTTAATATTATCTTGGCTTTCAGTAGTCATAACAAGCTTCCACTGTAATAAAAATTGTATTAAGAATTTCAGCTTTCAGTCCAGGAAACTGTGCTGTAAGAGGAGGGAACTGTGCTGCCCGAGGATGTGAGCTCCTGCACACCATCTGAGCCCCGGGACAGTTGAAGATCATCACTCCCAGTGGTCAAGGATGCACCCAGCTTCCAGCCACATTAGACTGGGCTCTGCAGGTTTCAGGCCTGTCTGGGCCATGCCCCAGTGACCTTCTTTCAATCCAGAGAACTGTGCTGCCAGAGGAGGGAACTAGGCTCCCTGCAGGAGTGAGTTCCTGCTCACCATCCCAAGCCCCAGGAGAGTTTAAGATCATTGCTCCAGTGGTAAAGGACGTGCCCAGCTTCCAGCCACACTAAACTGGGCTTCACAAGTTTCAGGTCTTCCTGGGCCACACCCAATGACCTTTCAATACAGTGAAACGTGCTGCCTGAGGAGGGAACTGGGCTCCCTGTGGGAGTGAGTTTCTGCTCACCATCCCAAGCCCTGGGAGAGTTTAAGATCATCGCTCCCAGTGGTCAAGGACCTGCCCAGCTTCCAGCCACACTAGACTAGGCTTGAGAGGTTTTGTGGTCCGGATAGATTACACCCAGCAACCTTCTTTAATCAGAGGAGTTGAAAGCACGTGAAGAGAGTTCCAGTGCATTGGTCCTTGCCCAGAGAGAGCTCTGAACATCATCCACAGTGGTTAGGTGCCTGGCCCAGCTTCCTGGAACAATGGAGGAGGCACAGGAGGTCCTATGGGCCTGACTGGACCATGCTCAGCAACCTCCATTCAGTCCCAGGAGCCGAGGGCATAGGAGATAATTTCCAAGATGCCAGGAGAAGCCTTGGAACAACACTCAAAACATGGAAATATAGGAAAATGACAAAACAAAAGACCAAAATGCAATCTCAAACCTCCAGCCCATTGCAAGAAACCCTAGGAACTATGTACACAGAAGAAAATATATGCCATACACCTGAAATACCTGTAATAATAACAACTGAAATAAAGAAGCAACTTTAGGAAGCTTTAAAGGAATTCAAACTAGAAATAATCTCCCAGGTAAAAGAAGAAATGATGAAAGAGATTCTGAACACATCTAAAGAAGACACAGTTAAAAAATTAGAGGAAGAAAACAAAACAAAACAAAAATCCCTGGATGAACAATATAAGAAACAGAATACATGAAACAGACTCAAAGAGATATACAGGAAATAAAAAATTCCATTGAAAGCTGTCAAAACTGCCTCAATAAAAGTGAAGATAGAATTTCAGACCTCGAACACAAGATTGCAGTTAGTGAACAGGAAAGGAAAAATCTTTTAAAAATAACAAGGAATCAGGAAATAACAAACAGCTGCAAGATGATGCAAAGAAAAACAACATAAGATTGATAGGGATAAATGAAAAAGAAGGGGGTAACACAAATGATATCAAGAGGCTATTTAGGAAGTAATAGCTGAAAATTTCCCAAACATGGGAATGGAAACTGACATATGGATAATTGAAGCATATAGAACCCCAAATAGCCATAACCAAAATAAAACTACACCCAGACTTATAATAACCATGCCAGAAATCCAACATAAGAACAGAATATTAAAAGCTGTTAGGGAAAAAAGACAGATCACCTATAAAGGAAAACCTATCAGAATGACAGCAGATTTCTCAACACAAACAATGAAGTCAAGAAGAGCATGGAGTGAATGTATTTCAGATCCTAAAGGAAAATGATTTCCAACCTAGACTGATTCACCCTGAAAAACTGTCCTTCAAAACAGATGGAGAAATAAGGTACTTCCATGAAAAGAACAGCTGAAGACCTTCATGATCACCACACCAATCCTGCAAAGAATACTAAAAGACACTCTAGATACACATAGGAAAAAACTATTAAACAAGGTGGACAATTAAACAGAGTGGAAAGATAAAGGTGCGACAGCAAAATGATAACAGGCCAACAATAAACCAATATATAACAGTTACAACGATTAATGTAAATGGTCTCAATTCACCAATTACAAGAAACAGACTGGCAGAATGGATCAAGAAACAACATCCAACCATATGCTGTCTACAAGAAACCCATCTAACACAAAAGGAAACTCACAGACTGAAAGTCACAGGATGGAAAACAATACTTCACACAACAGGAACCCCCCCTCAAAAAAGGCAGCAGTAGCTGTTCTGTTTGCAGACAATGTGAACTTCAAACCAACAATGATCCTAAGAGATAAATAAGGTCACAACATACTGGGTAGGGGAAAACTTAAAGAGGAAGAGATAATATTCTTAAATATATATGCACGAAGTTCCAGAGCACCCAGCCATACAAAGCAAGTATTAATAGAAATGAAAAATCAAATTAGCAATAACACAATTATAACAGGAGACCTTATCACACCATTGACACCAAGGGACAGATCAACCAGACAGAAAATCAGCAAAGAAATAACAGACCTGAATCACATTCGTGAACAAATGTACTTGATAGACATATACAGAGTGTTCCATCCAACAATGTCAGAATATACATTCTTCTTCTCAACAGTACATGGGACATTCTCTAAAACAGACCATATACTAGCCCACAGAACATATTTAAATAAGTGCAAAAGAATTGAAATTATACCATGCATGTTATCAGATGAATGAAATTAGAAATTATGATAAAAGAAACTGCAAAAACCCCACAAACACATGGAAATTGAATAATAAACTCTTGAGTAATCAGTGGGTCACAGGGGAAATTAAAGAGAAATTAATTAATTAATAACTACAAGCAAACAAAAATACAAATACAACTTACTGGAATCTGTGGGATGCAATGAAAGCAGTCCTCGGAGGCAAATTTATTGCACTTAGTTCCCACATCAGGAAAACAGAACAAATACAAATAATCTGATACTATACCTCAAACATCTAGAAAAAGAAGAGCAAGTCAAGCCCAAGCCAAAAGAAGGGAGGAAATTATAAAAATCAGAGCAGAAATTAATGCAATAGAGACTAAGAAAATAATTCAATGAATCAAAGAGTTGGTTCTTGGAAAGAATAAATAAAATTGATAAGCCCCTAGCTAACCTTATTTTAAAAAGGAAAGAAAAAGCTCAAATTCATGCAATAAAGAATGAAAAAAGGGAAATCACTACAGACTCTGTGGAAATACAGAATATCATCAACACATATTTCTCTACTCTCATAGGTTCAATAACACAGAAGAAATGGACAGATTCCTAGAAACATATGAAGTACCAAAGCTGGATCAAGAAGATGTAAAACTGCTGAAAAAACCAATTTCTATTAATGAAATTGAAAATGTAATTAAGTCCTTACCTACAAAGAAGAGCTCAGGCCCAGACAGATTCACTGCAGAATTCTATGAGAAATTAGAAAGAAGACTTAAGGCCGACACTCCTCAAACTCTTCAATGAAATTGAAAGGGAAGCAATCCTTCCTAAGTCATTCCTGGAATCAAATATTACTCTAGTACCAAAACCTGAGAAAGCCCCAACTAAGAAAGAGAACTACAGGCCAATCTCCCTAATGAACACAGATGTAAAAATACTCAATAAAATATTGGCAAGCAGGATGGAGCAAATCATCAAGAAGATTACACACCATGACCAAGTGGGATTCATCCCAGGCAGGTAGGGATGGTTCAACGTGCATAAATCTATAAATGTAATCCACCATACCAATAAAGACAAAAGTAAGAACCACATGATCATTTTTATAGATGCAGAAAAAGCTTTTGATAAGGTTCAACATTCATTCATGATAAGGACCTTACAGAAAATTGGAATAAATGGTCTTTACCTTAATATGATAAAGGCCATCTATGCCAAACCAACAGCCAGCATCATATTAAATGGCCAAAAACTGAAGGCCTTTACCTAAAAATCAGGCACAAGACAAGGATCTCCCTTATCACTGTTCCTATTCAACATAGTACTGGAAATACTAGCCAGAGCAATTAGACAAGAGAGAAAAATAAAAGGGGTAAAGATAGGAAAAGAGGAAGTTAAATTATCATTATTTGCAGATGACATAATCCTCTACATAGAAGACCCCCAAAACTCCATTGAAAGTCTCCTAGATATGGTAAACAAATTCAGTGATGTAGCTGGATAAAAAATCAATACTCAAAAATCAATAGCATTCTTATACCCTA